GCCTATAGCTCTGGGAATCAATGTCCTAGAGCTACATAATAGGGCAACAAATTTCCCTTCACAAGCAGACTATTATGATTGTTGCCATAAAGTTGGTAATTATATGCAACTTTTTATTTTTTATTGAAAATGGTTTGGGGAATAAAATTGTATGTAACAGACCTATGGCCGTTGCACGCACGTTTTTTCTGCTATATGTAGTGAGGACCATGTGTTGACTCCCACTGACTTCTATTGATTTTTAGTCATTTTCAACCCTTTTTATGCTCTAACCCTAAAACTAACCCTAAACCTAACCATTGTCAATGCATACCTCACCCTAACCCTAACCCATATTAGCCCTAAATTCAACCATTAGCAAAATATTACCGGTATGTGTTGACCAGCAAAATGTCCTCACTTTACTACTGGTCCTCATTGTAATGGTGAAATTGAAAAAAATTATCCTCACTCTGATGCCTTGACAGGTAGACACACAAACACCTTCACCCACACACACACATTACACTACTGCCATTATTCCATTTTTACAAAAAAAGTTTGTCTCCAATGAGTATAGATATTGCAGTTGGATAGAAACTGTTGTTTGGTTTCCATGTCCTTACTTGAACTGGTCTGTATCCTCTGGTTGATGTGAAAAGTTCAAACAAAACTTCATCAGAGTGACTGAAACCCAGAATACTATCAACAGCATCAAACTGTTCTTAGGCAGAGGGGATGCACACAGCCTGCAAAAGAGTGGAGTTCCACTACAATTTAAATTCTTACAGTATGCTATTGGACTTGTAGATTCAGGTTAAATAAATACAAATCAAATTAGATTTGCACTATGCAATAAATGGCACCTACAACCCTGATTCTTTTCAGACATAATTTGCTCTTTTATTCATATATTTTTTATTTTTTATGACACTGCTTTCTTCCTCTTATACCACAAATCTTTCCCAGAAATGTATTTGGTGATGCAGAGCTATATGACAATACACTAAAACAGGGCTGTTGTTCTCCTTAAATGGATCTATTGGTTCCTGCTCTGAGACTTTACTAGTGCTGTCCACCAACATCATAATATAATGCTTAAGCATTTTTTTAAATGAGATTTTTTTGCCATACACCATTATGGGTGTATGGTTTTCAATCACTTTTGATGTAGATTCTATGCAATATTTTATAACCCTCGGATAGAAGCAGCCTGCTTCTTATCTGAGCTAAATCTACTTCTAAAATTGGCTTTCTAAAATTGTTTTTGATGATTCTTGCAATTTACAAGCATCTTAAGAATAAAAACATAAAAAATTGATAATTTTTTAAAAATACATGCAAACTGATGTTTTCTTTTATATGTGCACAAAACCCTGATGCTATGCATACACTGGCACATCTTCCACTGAATCCACCTTAGGGACTTTGGAAGGATGGCCATAGTAAATTACTCCTGACAATAGAAGGAAAGCACAATTGAAACCAAAAACCTTTGAGAGACAACAAGCCACTGAAAACACTCCAGTAATTTTGTCCTTGAATGCCCCCTTGAATTCCAAACAGGCCTGTTTGGCTCTTGCCAAAGTTTAAGTGGATGAGTTCAGTCACACATATATATTTCATGAGAATAATGGGCCCAATTAAACTGTGATTACAGATTCTTCTGGGAGCTTTTCATGCCAGAGCTGCAAACTGGGATTGCTGGTTCACATCTGAACATCATAATAACAAACAAGATCACTATATCAGATAATGGCCTATATAGAGAATATAGACATGACTTTTCCCAACTAAACACTGACCAGCAAAAAAAAACACGATACTCAAAAAACAATTCATGTTTCCTCAAGGTTTTTTTTTTCTATTGTGTACACACTAAAGGGAAATTCATTTATAATACATTGTGCATATATAAACCATAGTGTTGACTTATTCCAGTGATTCATTAAATGATGTATATACAAGGCATTTCTTTCTGCTAACTTTTTTCCCTTTTATCCAAACAAGAGTCTCACTGTCTACTGTACAAATTCCGCTTCAGCAACAGTAACTCAAAAGAAAAGCCCAAACAAAACAAAAAAACAACTTTGTGGGAACGCTCTAAATTATATTACCCAAGGGATATTGCAAGAAAGGTGGTGAACGTACAAACTAAAAGAAATATATTAAATTATGGTATGTAAGGAAATCATAAAAGTTCTTGTTGTGTTCCAGCTGTTCATGCAGTATTGTTTAAACCACATGCTGTTTCTGAAGCAAAATGCGTAACTGTTTTAACTGGATAACATCTGATTAAAACATAAATTCAACAAACCACAAGTAGCTCAGAAACAAAAAAGAATATTTACTGTGAATTTACTGTGAAGTTTGTTCTGGGAGCCGAGTCATCTCCTTACTCACCTTGGAAAAGCTGCTTTAGAAATGAGGTTAGATAACATGTGTTGGGAATTGGTGCTGTATAGATAAATAAACTGAAACTAAATTTATGTTTAGGGAAGACATTTAAATAAACCTGGGCATTTTGGTGCATCATGTACGTACTGTAAATGAAATTGAATGAAATGAGTGTGGAGTACCTGTGAACAGGGAACACAAACACATCTAAATAGCACATAAACATAATTATCTGACTAAAAAAGTGTGTATCTCTCACATATCACCATAACTGACCCCTTTTCGATGTTTGGGAAATTCTTAACCACATCTTTCTTAATATTCTTGTTTTCTGTTAGGTGAACACAAAAAGTGGGCAAATATGAGGTGCAAGATGAATAACAAATAAAAATACAAAACCTGTGACATGCATTAATCTAATCTGGTGCAACCAATTGCCTTAAGCAGTCATCTTGTTGGTGTTTACATAGTCTCACTAAAAAAAGAGCCAAGAAGTCAGTAGAAGTTTAGTGGACAGCCTAACGGATCCAAAGCGCAGGTAAGAAAAGCTATTGAGAAAAAAGGCTATTCAGTCATATACTCTATAGATCTATACTTAAAATATGATTAGGAGCAACAACAAAAAAGTTATTGTTGAAAGAAAGCTCTGATAAGCTCTTATTTCTGTTTGTGGTAAGCCATGTTGAGGACACAGTAAATATAAAGTTGGTGATTATCTTGCCAGATAAGACCAAAATTAAACTTTGTAGCTTACAGTATATGTTATGTTTGTCAAAAATCATGAATGCACATCACCTTCTACAAACAACCACCATCAAATTTGTATGTGTTTGCATTAAGCTGTGGAGGCCCGTGTCTTCATCTGTAGCGAAAAGCTGGTCAAACTCGATGTAGAGATGTATGGAAGTAAATAGAGCTCAACTTTGAAATATTACCCATTAGATACTGCAAAATAGTTGAAAGTGTGGATTATTTGAAAATGGAGAAAGTTGCAAAATCTCAGCCTGTAGATGTCAAAAGGTCAGAAGATAGGTTTTCAAGATGCTTGCAGTTGCTTTTGCAGCATTAGCTGGTTCTACAAAGTATTGGCTTAGAGATACAAACACAAAATGCTTTTAAAATATTTTTCTTTGCAAATATTTTGTAAAATGCTGCTTCATTTTCCTTGCGCTGCACTGTTGATTTAAAAAAATAAATAAGGTTTATGAATAAATTTGCTAGGTGCTCTGCAAGTAAAGTGATAGGGAAGAATAGCAAAACGCCACAAAGAATGAAACCAACCTTCTTTGTGAGTTAGTCAAGACAAAACCAATACAAAATTAACATAACTGTTTATACAGTAGGGGGGTAAAAAATATCTAAACTTTTTCTGAAAAAATGAAGTAATGATTGAAATATGTTAAGCTCAGAAGATGCAAAACATGTTTAAAACAAACTCAAAAGGTAAAAGTAAGACACATAGAATTGAAAAAAGGTTTGAAAATGATCACTTTGTGTGATTTTATGACATTTATTTGCTTTGTAAAAGCTTTGGATTCAAAGTTTTTAGGTTGCCATTAAGCCCTCTGATCCCCAAACTTATCAAACATACTGAAGTTGAAAAGTTCTGTTTGGATAATTTAAGTGAACGTGTGTAACCCGGAAAAACTAAATTGCTAAATGTATCCCTTGGTCACTTCATTTATCACCTAACTTGGCTCAACCTTTACCTCTGCTTGGGCAATTTTTAAGAGTCAACTTTTTTTTCTTTTTTCATGGATACATTTTAAGCATTTGCACAGATAGTAAACATCCCAAAAATAATTTATGTTTAGTTTTTGCTTGTGCACCACTTTCTCTTGCCTGTAGGACAGTATAAATGGCAAAAATATCCTAATTTACTCCAAACTCTATCTGTTTTTAATTTTCTGGGCCGGCAGCTTTCTTTTACACTCTGTCCTTCACCGTGTTTATCTTTACACTTCAGCAGCCCGTCCGCGTGTTGCAGTTCTCATTCCCCCCCAGTAGATGGCCTTATTCTCGAATATATGATGAGCCGGGATTAAAAACAGTATCACTGCCAAATGTCCGCATATATGCAGAATTAATCTCCAAAATTTAAAATTTGATTGACATATTTTGAAGTACTTGTGTTTAATAAAAAGGAAAAATTTTATTTTCTACTATAATATATCAAACCCAGGGAAGTGATGATAAAACAATGTTAGTTTTATTTATTTATTTTCTTAAATAATTCTGAAAATGATTTTGGCATTTGAAAATACAATTGCAATTATGCATTTATTTCAACTAAAAGGAAAAGTAATTTTAAAACGATGACTAACCTGCTGAAATCAATAAAATAATACCAGCTACTATAAAATAATGCAATTTAACCACTTTAACGAATATATTACACTCCCAAAACATCATTATTAATAGTATTTTCAAATTTAAATATCTGAACTGCCCATGAAGATAACATATCAACATCTGCAATCTAAGATTTTCCGTCATCTCACTATTATTTGTTTCCTGCACCTCTCCAAAATCGCCTGCTTGGTGAAGAGCCGCGGAGGAGCGATTGGAGCGCTCAAGGTTGGCGTGATGACGTCATGGAAGTAGCGTGAGGGGACCTTGTAGCCTCTTCGGCCCCCCTATACAGTCCGGAGGCTGAGACACAAGTTATCTGGGAGGCTGCGGAAGGGCCGGCGATCTTTCCCCATCTTTTCTGCGTGGAGCTCACTCCCCTTCATCCGTCCTGTATGGTGGATATTATCTTCAGCTCTTCTTTCTTGGGTGATATGGGGGATCATTCCAAAAGTAAGTACGCACAACTGCTCTGTGCACTTTTCAGCAGAATGATTCAGTGTCCGGTGCACAACTGCAGCTTTAGATCGCGTAGAAAAGCTCATAATCAGCAAGGAATGAACCGATTCTTCAAAAGTTAGTTCGTTTTATTTGGCTTTTAGAAGAGATTTCCATCTGCGTAAAGAAGAGGGAAATGGATGCGTAAAGTTCTTAAGCATGAAAATTGCTGAAATACACCAGCTGTGCATATAGCAGCAAGAATTAGGACTTCTTTAGGAAAAAAAAGTTAATTTCAAAATAATTTAAAGATGAGACACGCTGCGCCGTTTTTGGTGTTAATTCCAGTAAATGATCAAAGTTGTGTTGACAAGCATGTGGCCTCTTTGCAGAGAAGTCAGGATTCGCGATGTGTGTAGGATGTGGAAGCCAGATCCATGACCAGTACATACTACGAGTTTCCCCCGACCTGGAATGGCATGCTGCCTGCCTGAAGTGCGCGGAGTGCAGCCAGTACCTGGATGAGACCTGCACTTGTTTCGTTCGGGACGGGAAAACTTATTGCAAAAGAGATTATGTAAGGTAGGATTATTTTTATTTTTTATTCCCCGCTTGATTACTCACCTATTGTCATACAAGTTGGCTAATGTATAGATTAAATTTCATTATAAGAAGGAACTTAAAAAAAAAAAAAAAGAAAAGTGTGGAGAAAAAAACACAAAAAGTAAAAATTAAAAAGACAAAAAAAATTTGGTAAAAAAAAAAAAAATCTTAATTGCAGCTTCAGGCACAAATAAAAATGCTCCTTCAAAATTTGCTAATTAAAAAACAAAACAAAATAAAAAAGAAAAACCCATACTATTCCCTTTGAATAATGTCTAAACAGTTGAACATTTTGCAGGCTGTTTGGAATAAAATGCGCCAAATGCAACCTGGGCTTCAGCAGCAGCGACTTGGTGATGAGAGCCCGGGATAATGTGTACCACATCGAGTGCTTTCGGTGCTCGGTGTGCAGCAGGCAGCTGCTGCCGGGCGATGAGTTCTCCCTCCGGGAAGAGGAGCTGCTGTGCCGGGCGGACCACAGCCTGCTGATGGAGAGAAGCTCTGCTGGAAGCCCCATCAGCCCCGGACACATCCACTCCAACAGACCACTACACCTTGCAGGTCCCAAAAATCATCATTATTATTATTACATAGTAATAAATAATAAGATATAGTTTTTGTGTTCTGTAGATCATTTCTATAAAAAAAAAAAAAAAAAAAAGTTTTTTGGGTTCAAGTTTTAGATTTCTGGGTGCTGTCGAGATATTTAAATGTGTTTTATTCATATGTCGATAAGGATGTATGCTGGAACCTCTATATGGGCCAATTCTATAATTGATCTAATTAACAGTGACCCGCTCTGTTGCCATTTTCTACATAATCTGGCACCAGAGTTGCGGCCCCGTCTTTATGTCTGTCTGCGTGTGTGTTTGTAAGGGAAATCACTGTGCCAAAAACAAAAGCGTGTAAATAATGGCCACTTACCTGCTGCAGCGCGGCTCTGGAAACAGGCCTCAACGGAGACGCAAATTCGAGTGCTTTAAAAAAAAAAAAAAAAAAAAATCTTCATCTTCGGTTTATGAAGGTGTAGTTTCAGAATTATATGTATATATATATTTTTACATATACGCTAAATTAATTGTTTAATTTAAATTTTTTATATATACATATACATGTATATATATTTTTATATATAAGCTAAATTAATTGTTTAATTTACATTATATATATATATATATATATATATATATATATATATATATATATATATATATATATATATATATATATATATATATATATATATATATATATATATATATATATATATATTTAGACTTTGGATAAATAGGGGATAAACCTTTATCTTGTTAAAAGGCCGTTATTAGAATGGCTTCAGATTGTGCCTGCTCTCTGCTGGTATGAACAAACACAAATGGACCTGCAGCCGCTGAACAGCGCCTCTTCCTCCCCTGCGTCCTCAGCAGATCCCGTGGCGGTGCGGCAGGCTCCGCACCGGAACCACGTCCACAAGCAGTCGGAGAAGACGACGCGGGTGAGGACGGTGCTGAACGAGAAGCAGCTGCACACGCTGAGGACCTGCTATAACGCCAACCCGAGGCCCGATGCGCTGATGAAGGAGCAGCTGGTTGAGATGACCGGTCTGAGCCCCAGGGTTATCCGGGTCTGGTTCCAGAACAAGCGCTGCAAGGACAAGAAGAAGTCCATCCTGATGAAGCAGCTCCAGCAGCAGCAGCACAGTGATAAGACTGTAAGCATCTTCGTAAGTTTGACCATCGATTTCTATTTAAAGCACTTTGGTTTGGATTTTTTTTCTCACAGAGAAATTCTTTATTTATTGGGATTGTGTTTATTGATGTATTTCTGGTTTTGTTTGTGGAGACACTTTTATTTTTGCTGAGGCGCCTCACAGTCATCTTGCTTTAGTTTAACATTTGATAGAAACAGGCTCAAAATGCATGCATCAATGATCACATTTGAAATTGAATGTTAAAATAAAATTGCGCTGCGGTTTTTGTTTATTTGCATGGGCTGTGGGGGACCTCTGCTAGTTCATAGCTTTATTAATTATGTTTGATTGTTTTATATTCTGAATTCAGTGCAACTTGTTGGATGGTTAACTTGTGAGCCTATAACAAATTCCTGAAATTACTTGAGTGACAGAATATATTTTGCTTTATAAATAATATTGCTTAGCAACATTAAATTAATTGATAGAAAAGATAAGGTAGAGTTGCATACAACTTTTCATTTAAAATGTTTAATACATCTATTTAAATTTCTAAATCAGCATTATTTCAATATTGAGACTTCTTTTCCCAAGTGAACCACACAGGTCAGTTGGAGTTAATCTAGACTGGCATGTTTTGTATTTGCCCAACTGCTCATCCTGTTAATAAATAGTGCCTTGGTAAAGGTGCTCAGCTGGTTTAAAACAATGCTAAATGTAATGTTACACAAAGTGTAGATCTTTGGTTGTTTTCACAACATTAACATAGTAGCAGCATAACATACAATGAGTGCTTTTGGATATGACAAGTTGGCTCTTCTGGGGAATGTATTGATATTTAATTTAAGACTTTTCTTCCAGAACTTGCAGGGCCTCACAGGAACGCCACTTGTGGCTGGAAGTCCTATTCGGCATGAGAGCACTGTGCAGGGAAACCCAGTGGAGGTTCAGACTTACCAGCCTCCTTGGAAAGCGCTAAGTGAATTTGCACTGCAGAGTGACCTGGATCAGCCAGCTTTTCAACAACTGGTGTGTGTGTTCATGACAGATCTATCTATCTATCTATCTATCTATCTATCTATCTATCTATCTATCTATCTATCTATCTATCTATCTATCTATCTATCTATCTATCTATCTATCTATCTATCTATCTATCTATCTATCTATCTATCTATCTATCTATCTATCTATCTATCTATCTATCTATCTATCTATCTATCTATCTATCTATCTATCTATCTATCTATCTATCTATCTATCTATCTATCTATCTATCTATCTATCTATCTATCTATCTATCTATCTATCTATCTATGCAATACCCCATTTTATCATTCTACAAACATATATTGTGTGCTTTAATTGAAATTTCACTTAATCATTTGACTTTCAAACACACCATCCCCACACTGAGGCATAGTGGGTGTAATATCATGCTGTGGGAAATAAAATAACTGTCCAGTTTAAATGTAGAAATAATTCTTATTTTCACAGTGCATTTTTACAGAAAAGCTCGGCTTTTAAACTGACTAGCTTCCATTAAATTTGACTTTGGTTCTCACTCTTCAGGTGTCTTTCTCTGAATCGGGTTCTCTCGGAAACTCCTCGGCCAGCGACGTGACATCTCTGTCCTCTCAGCTACCAGATACCCCGAACAGTATGGTCCCCAGCCCAGTGGAGACGTGAGACCTGATGGTGATCTGTGACCATTACCAACGCCACCTCCTCCTCCTGCAGGAACAATTTGCAGCATGATCCTGGTCCCCCTGCACCCTCCCCACCTCCACTTCCAGCCCTGCATGTGACCAGCTCATCACATCGCCTAGAATTATCCAGAGGAGAATTTTTCTTTTTTGTCCATACCCTGGAGGAGGTGGAACAAAGAGAGCACCAAATGACTTATTTTGTTTGTTTTTATGTGACAAAAAACTAAGAACAATTGATGCATGACTCTTCATACGGAGAATGAAGATGTACAGAAGACCTCCTGGTGGATATATACAACAAACCTTCAGAAAAAAAAAAAAAAAATCAAAGGCTACCGGATCCTTTCAATGTTACAGCAGACAGACTATTCTGCATTTTCAGTGTGATCATATTGTGTCTTGTTTCTTCAACATGAACATTTTTGATACCTTTCTTGTGGCGTATACTTGACTCTTTGTCTTAAGGTCAGAGCATGATATTCTGCAAAAGTATTCGTGGTGTAAAGTACTTTATCTTGAAGGGCTGGTTGTTTGAGCTCCAAGAACAAAAACAAAAAAAGTAAATTATTGTTATATTATTTATTGTTAGGAAAGCGATTCGTTAAAGGGAGTATTAACTGATGAAAAGAATAAAAAAGATGAATATAAGAAATGGCTTCATGATTTTTGTACAGGCGCAGCCTCCATACAAACCTCCATCCTTGTTTTCTGCTGTGCTTGAATGAAATATCTGACTCTTTTTTTTTATCTGAAGAAAAAAAAAAGTAAAAAGGGCTGAAGTTTGGAGGATTGTTTTTCTTTGCGTTAAAATATGTGGTTTTTCCCGTTCCACCTTGATTAACTGAGCTGTTGCCTGGAGGTGCTCTTCTTATTATCTGGCCCCTCCATCTCCTGCTGTATGGCAGGAATCGGACGGTGGTCATTTACTATCTCGGGGGCAAAAAAATCAGCTGTAAATCTGCTGCGATGGGTCTGGTTCCTCTGGTCCAGCCACAGGCCGGTCTAGACAGCGTGTCAGGGATCGGCGACCTCTTATCTGTTCCTGGCATCACCTGCAAGCGATACACTGACTGAAGCCACAACAAAACCAAACACCCCCCCCCATATCACCACCACCTTAAACACACAGACACCCGCTCAGAGGAGCCCCACCCCTCTCGTTTGCGGGTGCAGAGATGGTAACTTGTCTTTTGCGTTTATTTTCCTTCCATAAATTGCGCGGGTCAACAGGGCTAAGGTCGCTGTTCAAACCGACAGAAGACCACCAAGTAGCCCATTTAATGCAATCTGTTGGTTAAATCATCCTGGGTGTTAAAGCGATGCTTTATTAGAAGAGAAGGCCGGTATGGGACCGGTTCTGGGAACAAAGAGGGAAGGAAAGAGGAAAAAAACAAAAATATTGGAAGCCGTGCATCCATTTTTCAGACTCTAATAGAAAAAAAACAGCAACACACAAAAAAAAAAAACAACTTTAATGCCAAGTTTTTAATTTCAGGAAAAAAAAAATCAATTTCTCTTCTCTGTTGTTTTTTTTTTTTTTTTGGGCCTTAACTGCAATCTTGAAAGACAAAAGACAGATTATAGATTTGTAATTGAGCTATTTCAAATACAGCAGCAAACAGTGCATCCAGATTAAGATAAGGTAGATAAGCGGGGGAATAACAATGGGTTTTGCAGGGAAGAATGCAAGGCCTTCAATAATTATCCTTTGCAGAAAAACCAAGACAGGAGGCCGAATAGGAGTCTTGGTAGCTCTATTTTAGGGTGCATAAAATGTCTGCTGTTTTGTGATTTGAACGCGCTAACTAAAGTTTAATTAGATAAATAAATGAAAAAAAACGAGAATATTAAAATTTTGTAGCCTACTAGGTTCCTCCGAAAAAAATATATAAATATAATAAATATATAAATAAGGGCGAACAAATACAAAAAAAAAAAAAAAAAAAATCAAACAATTATTTGTTTAAAAAATGCAAAAGCACGCACTTAATCCAAAAAAAGGCTCAAATTAATTAATTTTATCTTTGAATATCCTTATTTGCCTTTAACCTTCCATTCCGTTCAGATCAAGATTGAGGTCTTTTGACATCCATGTTGAGTCTAATACATCATCAAGCCTCTAAATTAAAGTTTCCCTCAATAAAATAAATAGGATGTAAAAGCTCAGAGCGCGTGCACAATTTAATGGCCCCGCGTTCTTCTTGGGGAGAGTTTGTCCATTTATAAGATGCTTCACGGCCTTTCATTTAAAGCTGAACTATTTGGCACCTCTCATAGATGGGAACAGCAAATGTTAAGTTATGTGACCTGAAACCCAATCCCCGGCCTCCCTGATTAACTTTGAGTTGAGTGGAGCCGCTGTCTGCAGGTGTAATGTTGGCACGGGAAGGACTGACACCACGAGCCTCATTAATGATTAGGAGCAGGAACATGTTTAAAGGTGTGATGCAATTCTCTCAATCTGCTCTGATTGGTGGAGGGTGGCAAGGGCATATTGGAGAAATCCACCGTCTGCTGCCAGGCATAGACTGACTGAAACAAATGCGAACAAAACCTCACATGGTGCGTAAATGAGCTAAATTTGTTTGATTTTTCAAATTTTGTATTTCTTTCAACTTTGTTTCCCCTTCAATTTATAATAAAAAAAATGACGTCAGTGATCGGATGCAGTTTTTATACTGAGAAGCGCAATTATTCACTTTAACATATATAATTCCGACGTTGTTTAGGTGATCCCACATTAATATGAAAATCCAAGTCAGAGGAAAATATTAGCACTTTTTCGATGATTATTTTTGATTTTGCGATGTGACATGTTTTTGTGATTTAAAGATCTATTAATGATTTGTACAAGAAAGATATGGGAGACACAGTATGAGGATATTGTCTTTATTTCTTCATAATAATGATACTACTACTAATAATACACATATTCATAACAATAATAACAATAATACAAATATAATAATAATAATAATAATAATAATAATAATAATAATAATAATAATAATAATAATAATAATAATAATAATAATAATAATAATAATAATAATAATAATAATAATAATAACTTGAGAAAAGCAACAGGAACATTGATGAAAGAGCATGATATTTTTGAATGCATTTATCTAAAAAACCGCGTGAAAGGTTTTGTTCATTCTGAAATTTGGACTAAGTGAGGCAGATGTCTAAAAACAAAAGAATAGAAAAGAAAGTGCTTCAAACCTCTAGTTTGAGACTCTAATATTTGTTTGTCTACAAAACAAACAGACTCAAATTATTTTTTTTCTATCTTTAAATTGTATTCTATTTTGCTACTTACTGTAGTAATTATTAGATGATGATATTAAAACTTTTTTATGATATTAAAACCTTTTTTTTATTACAGAATTTAAAAGAAAACTACAAAAAATAAATAAACAAACAAACAAACAAAAACCCCCAACCCTGTGACAGTCTCTACACTCAGCCTTGTCCTAACCTGGGAGAAAATTCAGTCCAAACCTCTCAGGGGAAAGTTAGACAGCTTGATTTAACACAGAGACTGAGTTGGGAGATTTTTCTCTTCTGGAATAGAGGGCGAGAAACAAGCAAAATTGGGTTGTGTGAAGAGAAAGTGACAAAACAACGTGGGGGAACTAACACTTCCTGAAACATGGATGAAATTGAAGCATACATACCTTGCTCTAAATTAGCTTGATTATATTTTCTTATGTTTCTGCATCCTGGTCCGTTGCTAAACACTTACAAAAGCAAAACGCTTATGGAAATTTTTATTTTATTTTTTATTTATCCTTTATTTAACCAGGTAATACCCATTGAGATTAAAAATCTCTTTTGCAAGGGAGCCCTGGCCAAGATAGGCATCAAAATTACATCACATCATTACATATGTATAAAAGACACACACATAAAAGCCAAATATGCACTTACAATAAAATTTCAATTAAAACATTGACATGTGAGGGAGTCTAACTCAAAACATCTAATTCTCAACTTAAAAGTATTCAAAGGAACCAATTTACTAAGTTTCATGTTATTTTGCAGCAAATTCCATGTAAAGGGAGCAGAGTAAGCAAAGGCCTTTTTACCCAGCTCAGTACTGACACGTGGGACAGAAAACAAGACAACAGCCTGAGAACGGAGAGAGTAATGACCAGTACTTTTTTTCATAAGAAGTGAACATAAATAAGATGGAAGCGCACCAAGAATAGCCTTATATATAAATATATACCAATGACAAAGCCTCCGTGTAGCCAAGGCAGACCACCCTACACGAGAATACAGCTCACAGTGGAAATCAGACTCTATTATCTTTCTAACCTATATTGTCTGTTCAAACATCTGTAGAGCTAATATCAGTTCTTTTGGTTGTATTTAAATTTTTTGTGTGTGCCCATTTTCAGGTGTATTATGAAGGACATTTTACACTATTAACCAATTAAACATCTGGTGACAAAAATGTTCTCACCTGTAGGCTGTTCTGATTATAAAACTCTGCCAACCTTTGTATGAATCTGTGTGTGGGCGGGTGTTTTGGGTGGATGTTATATGTGTGTGTTTGTGTGTGTGTTAGTGTTGTTGCTCTTTGAGTGTGCTGCCTCGCCACTTGTTCAATATTGATTCTTGGGAATAAATGCTGCTTTTATGGGAAGCTGACATGATGAGTAAATATCCAGATATTATGCTTTAAACTTTTAAAAGCACTAAATCCAGCAGGACTAAAACCTTCTTAGAGAGTGTCATGTGAAATAAAATCAATTTTATGTCTTTGAGGGGGGGCACTAAAAACAAAAATAACCATACAGTGGACTAAAGTTTGCAATCCTTGTAAATAAGCTTTTAGAATGAGACAAAACCAGTACAATTCTATGAGAATTATAGCACCTTTGTTAGAGGAAAGAATGGAAAAGAATAAAACACATTTTCCCTCATGATATTTGAGTTTTCTCTGTTTTATGTCAGATCTGGATTTTTTTTTCCTTTAGCATAGATTTGTGAAGAATACAGTCGATTCTCGTTATATGTTAAAATCAACCTTTAGCTACTTGGTGAATATTCTGCAACCCCTCTCACATTGCTTTCAGCATGACTGGCTGCCTTTCACTTTCTAATTTCATATTGTTTACATATTTATAAAATCTCCACTTTCATAAATCTTCTTATTCTCAATTAGGAATAGTTGTCTTTAATGCATAGTATACAGTAATGCATTGAAGACTTCAATGCATATATAATGTGCAACATTGGAAAGGTGTTGGAAATGAATCTAGAACAGCAGAACATCTGTACCTGCTTAATCAAATCCACTTCAGTGGATCATAGGTGTGTATTTAACAAAACTGGACAGGTCCTATCAACAAAGGATTGGTTAAGGGTATGAACAGATATGAAACTAGATATGAAACTAGGTAATTACCCCTTTTTTTATGTAGCTATATATATATATATATATATATATATATATATATAGGATCACAATTTGTATTAAAATCTTACTTTTAAACTGTGGTTTGTTCTCTTTTGAGATCAACAGGACACCATATCCTCATATCCTTAGGTGACACTGTTAGGCATATGCAGTAGCATGCCTGAAGTAAAGGACCACAAACAGTGAAATTCTTGTGTAAAGAGCAGACATTGGACTC